AACTTTTTTGCTTCTCTATTAACAGTCAAATCATCCTCAGATGAAGATGAGTAGTTAGATTTTTCTGCTCGATATATTCATGTGAAATCTTTGCAGATTACCTTTACTGATCACACTTGACAAGATGCAAAATGGAGCTTACAGGGGCACCCAGCGACAATTTTCGAAAAAATATCTGTTCGGAAGACGATTTGAGATCTAGAATTTTCGGAACATTTGTTGTAAAATTTCTTTCTTGCATGCCTCTCCTAGGATTTTCGAACATATAAAAAATGGTATACTTGCCCATTTTAAACTAATTTTTACCCTAAAAAGTTCACCTAGAATTTTCGGGAGCCTATTTTCTGGCTAACATTTTCGAAAAGGTAAGTTTTGATCCCTATAATTTTCGGATCACTAGACTTTCAGTTAGGAATTCCGAACAGATGAAAAATTTTTAGGGGATAAAAATATGCCTATATCTACCGTTTAAATACTAAAATACATTCACCAATGCTATGTTTAAGTGGTTTTGAACTATATTCTCGTTGGGTGCCCCTGAGCTTACCAGGGAATAATTTATTATTTATGTCGGCGATACATATGCTGTACATGTCGTTGTTGATCTTTTGTGATTCAAATTTCTTACCATGGTATTTAATTTCGCGTGTGTAAATTCGCGAGGATTTTCACTCGCGAGGCTTTAATTTCGCGATTTTTTAACAATCGCGAAAATCGCGAAATTAAGTACGAATAAGGTAATCACGCTTGCCAGGCGGTCTGGCAAATGAGCCAAGCGAGAAACAGGACAGCAGGTAACACACTGTTCACGCTTACAGCTTTCCTAGCTTACAAGCAAGCTCTCCTATTTGGGCGAGTGAATAGGCTCGCTTCGCTTGCCCAAATAGGAGAGCTTGCTCGCAGGCTACAGCTTCCCTGGCTCATGTGATCAGGCCCGTACTGTGAGTTGTAGTGTCACGTAGCTTGCACGTGAAAGCTCGTGGTTCGTGTATGAGCCAGAGAGAATACGACTCAATGGATTTTAAAAATAGAACACGGTTTGCACATCAGAGACATCGCCGTTAGAACAAACAAATTCTTCATGTTAACCACGCATTCCTCCTAACCCTCTTTCCTGATGTGCAGAAATTATGCGTGGTGACAAGTGTAAGCATCATCTTTAAAAAACTTCAACTAAGGTATTCCAGATAGTTAGACTAAGTTTGAACTTAGCCTCGTAGAAAACTCTGATCTCTACATGTTGATTCGACCGACAATTTTAAGCTTGCTGCAATTAAATGCGTTTTTACTTAATCTGACTGATTCTCTCACTTTTAACTGTGTGTTTTTGATTGATTACATATTCATTTGTTAGTTTGTTCTTTTTCTTTGAAACTCGCGACATTTCCCCTTCGACATCTTGCAATGTATCTATGTTGATGTAGATGTAAATGTATAGATGTATGTGGGCTTTCAAGAGGGATAGAAGAGACTGAATCTCATGCACCCACCTCATTATTACCCCAATGAGATTTCTAGCCTCTACATCGGAGGCAAATTTGGACCATTCTTTTGTCAACAGAAAAGACACTGCAGCGACATCAATAAAGATCCCATTGTAGTTGGCGGAGAAACTCGTTTTCGAAGGCCCTCTCCCTTCAGCTTCGATACATTACTTTCTCAAACATTGTGGAAAAAATATCTTGCTCTTAAAAGTATCTTATGTAAAAAGTTGACATTTTGTGACCTCAAGCGATTGCTACTTTTAGTAAAAAGCTCCAGTGCTTAGTACTTGTCTGTATGAACAATAATTAGGAGAAAAAGCTGATTGTTATCGTCAACTATTTTATCAGACTCTGGATCGTTTTTCTGTGTATGTTTAAAATCAGACGGAGGTTCAGAAACTTTAACTGCATTTTATTTAAAGAATTAAATGGATAGTGGTATCATAAGGGGCAAGTAGGTTTTCAAACCATACGTTATAATAACGTGAAGTGGTTACGAAACGAGACATCTCTGTTATAAAATATTTTTGTTAGCTTTTCTGGACTTAACCGTACACAACGTTCAATGTCATTCCTATCTTTTTTTTTTGAATCGTCAAATTAACTTTTTTGAGTCACAAAGCAAGAATATTTTCTGTATTTTGTGCATTAGCGGGGTGAGGGAGCTCCCAACATTATAAACTGCAGCACAGTTGAGTTTTATCTTTGATTTAAGGTGGTTCGATACGGTTTTTCAGGGTCACTACCTCCCAAGTTTGAGTATAAACTACGTCGCCGTAAACAAAGATTTGGAAAAATTGACACCACAGTTGTATTATAGATCAAGATGAAAATTTGTTATGATCATAGGGTTGCAATGACATCGGAGTTGTCATAGCAACAAGATGACGCTATTATCTCTTTTACTTGCAGCAGTATTTCTCGGCAATGGGAACTGTTCTTCCAAAATCTTTTACTGGAGCTTTCTCCTCCGATAGGCGCCTCGATGTTCGTGAATTTAAGCGAAATCTGTAGGAGCGTTATCGAGATATTTTCGGAAGAAGTTTTTATGGTTAGAAACACGCGTGTGGTAAAAAATTGACAATCTTGATCATCGACTGCTATCTGTACTAAACGAGGCGCTTCTGACATGTAATTTCACTCATAGTGGTTTCAATCTTTTTAAAAGTGTGTGTGAAAGATCATAGAAATACCTCTAGCCGATTGCTAGAAAGAAGGATTTGATTAGTATGTATTGGGGAGCTCTTGTTAACGGTAATGTAAATATCTCGGTCTACTTTAACAAATTAGCGAATAATTTTTAAACCGCTCGATATATTTTTCAAAAAAATTAAGAATCTTGAGATTAACCGTCTTTTTATATGACCTCTTAGTTTCAAGATTATTGATATATTCTGAGGTAGTAAAATAAGGGCTACAATTCGCTAATATTTTGTCAGAAATTTTGTGTTTACAAGTGAATGCCTCTCACTATTCAGGGGTATTTTCTGAAAGTTTCATTTTCACGTGAACAGCAGTAACTAACAATTCATTTGACATATGTTAAATGCTAACTAGTATTTTTGAGCACGAAAATATGAAACCTGGGTCTTAACATAGATGCTCAACTCTGTTGGGGTAAACACGTTGAAGAGACTTGCAAGAAAGTCTCTTCAGCAATAGGCGCCCTAAAACGTGTGCGGCCCTTTATATCCAAAGAAACTGCAATTCAAATTTATAACGCTTTAGTTATGCCTCATTTTGATTACTGCAGCCACGTCTGGGACTGTTTGAGTGGTTACTTGAATGATAAGCTCCAAAAATTACAGAATTGTGATCACCCTTAGTACGAGCTCAAACCACCTTTTCTCCACCCTCGACTGGGAGAGGCTATCTCTTCTACGAAAGAAACACAAAGCCTTAATGATGTATAAAACCATGAATGACCTTGCTCCGGAATATCTACAAAGTCTTTTCTCTCACCGTCACTCTGCTTACAACCTAAGAAACTCTGAGGGAAGGCTGACCCTGTCCAAACCAAGCACCAATTATTTGAAACGAAGCTTCTCTTATAGCGGGGCCATGTTATGGAATAACTTGCCCAAAAAACTTTAAAATGCTGCATCCGTTGAGCATTTTAAGCGAAATATCAAGAAGGTAGCTGATATATCGGATTCCACACGGCAATCATGTAAAGTAGTTGTAATTAGTTTTAGTTTCACTTAAGCTTAACTTATGATTGCCCGTGATTAAATAAATATTTACATACATATATACACAAAGTGGAGCTGAAAACTCTTTATTTCACTTTTGACTGACTATTGATAGGTGATCGCTCCTCTTATTCCTACTTTTTTCATGGACATTCAAACCGGGCTACCCGGCAAGTATAAGCAAGTCTATTGTTCCTATTGCATCAGAGAGACGCTCATTAGATGTGGAGGAAGGCACTTATTAGTATGGAGGAAGGTCCTTATTAGTGTTGGTTAGGCTCGTTATTTTTCAACATGATTGACCTCGAGAAATTATCTTGAAACCCAATCAAAAAGGCTTCCTTAATGATTGCAAAACACCCGACATCTCGTAGAACTGAGTTCAGGGTGGGTACGTTTCCCTGACATTTATTCAGCTGTTTCACAAAATATAAGGTAACACTGATTTTTTCCAGTCCGTTTTCTTTATTTTAATTGAAACAGCGAACTGTTTTTTGTACGTGAACGCATTTTCAATAACATGATACAACTACAATCACTGCATGTGGCCAAAGGGTTTTGACACATTTTCCTCTTTTTCACGTCAGTTTTTGATCGGAATTTACATGTAGCAAGCGATACATATTCATAACTAAACACCGCCTTACCAAGGTTCCCCCCTGATCAAAGTTTTTAGTTGAGGTCGATGTGCACAAGTGTTTGACTTCTAACACCCAACACTGTGGATGGGGGAAGGGGAATTGAAGCTCTCCAGTTGTGGAAGTTGCGAATAGTCAAGCGACAGTCGCACGCGAAAGAAGATGCGACTGCTATGAAGATATGGATAATTTAGTTAATCATATTTCTTTCTTTCTTTTTCTTTTTTTTTTTCTTGAATACATGTTCACCGAAGGCGCTCTTCAGCGAGTCTTTAAAAAAATCTTTCTTTTCTAATAGAATAAACAGATAAATAAATTGCTTCTTTACCGAAATCATTTTTTTTACTCTTCAGTATCTTCTAGTTTATTCATTGGACTTAATAATATCTGGACTGAATAAAATAATGAATAAAATGGATAAAATAAACTGGACTGAATAAAATAATCATTGGACTGAATAAAGGTCAGGGAAACGTTTATTCATTGCAATCAGTTGTGAACCTGAGAGCATTCTCCTCACACGTGAATTCTCACGAGCGATATCCCCTGAATGAAGGCCTGTAAGGGCATTCGTTTGTCACTGTGATTTGACATTTTACTTATATTTTTCCATTTGGAGTCTGTATACCATCCATCAAAAGGACTTTACAGCTTTATAACCCCGGCGGGGGGGGCGGGGGGGGGGG